GTAAGCCACCTCTTCTTTTTGGCGTTAAAACTTCGGAGCACGTGTGCACAGCAACTTCCCACACTCTCCAAATTAACACGTAGTAAATGAAGGTGAAAGTAAACCATTTTCTTTTGCCTGGGCCCACTGGCCTATCTCTCTGGGAAAGAGAGCAGATAGGACTGAGTAATCTAGTTCAGGCTTGCAGTTTTGCATGTACAGAACATATTTCCCAGCAACACAGGATACGACTAATGTAATTCCCAAACCTTATGATGGACAGATTTCGAAATTAAATGAATCAGAGAGAGTGACAACATTACCCTAGCATACTTTTAATCAGACTCTTAATGAAGAATTTTGTGGCAAGCAAATTGTTGAGTTATATGGGGATTATGAAAGCTCAGAATTATGCATTTCACACAGCTCTTCTGTAGAAGTGGATGTAATAAATTATCTTTGACACCTTCCAGCTTTTTGAGAATAACTAAAATTGGTAAGAGTTCTGTGATGTTTTTAACATTTACCTTTAAAGATTTATTTGACAACTTGGCTTCATTTAGTGGACAATAGTTTTCAGATTCCCAATGCAAACTCTAAAAGTCTTATTTCGGTGATTTGGAAATGCCATTTGGCTTTTTTTATTTCTAATGAAAGTCTACCACCAGTGTCACCTTAGGAATTAATCTCCTGAGCTTTGTGTTGAACACACAGCTAGAATAGTTTGACCCTGGAACCAGTAAACCAGTATGGTGGTGATCTCTACTGGATATATTCAAGCAGAGTCTAGTGCAGTGGTTCTCAACCTGTGGGTCGGGACCCCATTTGGGGTCGATCGACCATTTCATGGGGGTCGCCAAGCAAGGCTGTCCGCCATTTTTTTGTCCGCCATTTTCCCCCCCTTTTCCGGCAGGTGCCTTACCTCCCTTGGGCTGGGCCAGCTGGTGGTCGGCCTGGTCCGTCTCTGCCGCTTGCTAGCTATGCCTCGGCCAGCGCAGGGGGCGGAACCACGCATGCGCAGCTCTCCCGGGCAGGGAAAGTCCTCGACTTACGACCGGTTGGGTAGTCCTCGACTTACAACCGGTTTAGTCCTCGACTTACGACCAGTTTAGTCCTCGACTTACGACCGGTTGGGGTCGCGGCATTAAAAAGGTTGAGAACCACTGGTCTAGTGAGTTATTTCTCTGGGTTGCCTTAATCTGAGTTTCTGGTCTGAACATAATAGAATAGAATAACAGAGTTGGAAGGCACCTTGTAGGTCATCTAGTCCAACCCCCATGCCCAAGCAGGCGTCACTACACCATTTCGGACAGATGCCAGATGCTTAGATGGGTATATAGGTAGTATGCACTTTGTTTCCACCGACTTATGACCACACTTGAGCCCAAAATTTCCATTGCTAAGCAAGACAGGTGTAAAGTGAGTTTTGCCCCATTTTATGACCTTTCTGGCCTCGGTTGTTAAGTGAATTGGTGCAGTTAAGTTAGTAACACAGTTAAGTGAATTTGGTGCCCCTATTGACTTATCTTGTCAGGAGGTAGTAAAAGGCAATCGCTTGACTCCATGAATACATGCCAGTCACCAAGCATCTGAATTGTGATCATGTGATCATGAGGATGCAGCAACAATGGTCATAAGTGTGAAAATGATCGTAAGCCAAATGGTCACTAAACAAATGGTTGTAAGTCAAGGACTACCCATACCAATTCTAGAACTTTACAGTTTGCTAAGTCTCCAAACAAAACTAATTGTGATAATGGGACTAAAGTCCAGTTCAACTAGAGATCACCAGGTGCTGCATGATGCCTCCTCAAGTTCTTGTAGATATTAATATAAGTTAATTAGATAATTCTGAATTATGATTAATTTTTCCTCTAGCCTCTTATCCTTTGGACACGTTCTGCCTGTTTAATGTTCTTCCTGAACTGCAATGTCAAGGTCTGACCCGGTATTTTAGCTGTGGTACTATTTGAGGGGCTGCCACAAAGAAGAGGGGTCAAATTATTCCCCAAAGTGCCAGAGGGCAGGATAAGAAACAATGATTGGAAACTGACCAAAGAGAGAAGCAACCTGGAATTAAGGAGAAACTTCCTAACAGTGAGGACAATTAGCAATTAACAGTGAGGACAATTCTCCTTAGCAACCTAGAACTAAGGAGAAACTTCCTGACAGAACAATTAACCAGTGGAACAACCTGCCTCCAGAAGCGGTGAATTGCACCAACACTGGACGTTTTTAAGAAGAGACTGGACAGCCATTTGTCCGAAATGGTATAGGGTTTCCTGCCTGATCAGGGGGTTGGACTAGATAACCTCCAAGGTCCCTTCCAACTTTATTATTATTATTATTATTATTATTATTATTATTATTATTATTATTATTATTATTATTATTATTATTATTATTATTATTATTATTATTATTATTATTAACCAGCGGAACAGCTTGCCTTCAGACATCGTGGGCGCTCCATCACTGGAGGTTTTTAAGAAGAGACTAGACAGTAACTTGTCAGAAATGGTATAGGTTTTCCTGCTTGAGCAGAGAGCTGGACTAGAAGACCTCCATGGTCCCTTCCAGCTCTATTCTGTTCTGATTCTGATGCAGGTTAGAGATGAACAATTGCTTTTGTTGATTTGACCACTATGCATTTGTTGACTCAGCCCAGGATCACATTTGATTTGTTATGCGGCCACATCACATTATTGGTTCATATTGTGCACTGAGATACCAAGAATCTTTTCACATGTCCAAATATTATATTTCCCCCATTCTATTCCCATGCCTTTGATTTTTCTTATCCAAATATGGAATGTTATATGCTGTCTCTATTGAACTGAGATTCATTTTGCTATTTTGGGGCCTAATTTTCCATCTTGTCAAATTTTTCTTGAACCTTGTTAGTATCCTTTAAGGTATTATCCGCAAATTTGAAAATCATACTTTCTAGCCCAGGGGTGTCAAACTGCCGGCCCGCGGGCCGGATGCATCATCCACAAGCCGCACTCACCTGATACGTCAGTTGCGCCCCTCTCTGGATCGTGATGCTCTACGCACGGTCACTCAAGCCCTCGTTTCCCGCCTGGACTATTGCAACGCTCTCTACATGGGGCTCCCCTTGAGGTGCACCTGGAGGCTCCAGCTAGTTCAGAATGCGGCCGCGCGGGGGATCTTGGGGGCCTCTAGATACTCCCATGTAACACCTCTCCTGCGTGAGCTGCACTGGCTGCCTGTGGCCTTCTGGGTGCGCTTCAAGGTGTTAGTAACAACCTTTAAAGCGCTCCATGGCAGTGGACCTAGGTATTTGCAAGACCACCTCCTACCAAATATCTCCCTTCGACCTGTCCGCTTCCACAGAGAGGGCCTCCTTAGGGTGCCGTCGGCCAGTCAATGCCGGCTGGCGACCCCCAGGTGGAGAGCCTTCTCTGTGGCAGCTCCTGCCTTCTGGAATGACCTACCCCCCGACCTACGTACAACTGCGGACCTGCGCCTTTTTCACCGAGCCCTGAAAACCCATCTATTCCGTGTGGCCGGTCTGGCGTAGTTTTAATTAGGTTTTAGTACAGGTTTTTATATGGGGTATTTTAGAGCAGGCCTTTATTTATTTAATCTGATTTTAGAATAGATATTTATTGTGATTTTTATTATCACCTGTTCACCGCCCTGAGTCCCGTAAGGGAGATAGGGTGGTATACAAATTTAAATAAACAAACAAACAAACCCCATTGCTGGCAATGGCAAAACCGTCCCGATATGTTGCGCGACGTCATGTGACTCGCGAGTTTGTTCTAGTCGCTCATGTCATTTATACACATATATTAAGTCAAGGCCTATGATATAGATAGTGTGCCATTTACGACTGTAGTGGAGACTGTCCATTATGGCTATAAGTCCTGAGTCATAAAGTGTGACACATTAAGTCATATGACTGAATTAATTTATGATCTTTTTTGTGGTGGTTGTTAAGTGAATGCCACAGTTGT